CCCCCTCACCTGTAGCACACCCCTCTCCCCTGTGGCGCACCCCCTCACCTGTAGCACACCCCCCTCCCCTGTGGTGCACCCCCTCACCTGTAGCACGCCCCCCTCCCCTGTGGTGCACCCCCTCACCTGTAGCATACCCCTCTCCCCTGCGGTGCACCCCCTCACCTGTAGCACGCCCTCCTCACCTGCGGTGCACCCCCTCACCTGCAGCACGCCCCCTCACCTGCGGTGCACCTCCTCCAGCTCCTCCTGCTTCTCCTGCGTGAGCCGTTCCAGCTCCGCCTTGAGCCGCCGGTTCTCCTCCGCGGCGGCTGCCTGCCGGGCCACCTGGGCCAAGCTGCTCTGCTCACCTGTCAGCTGCTCGTTCACCTGGGCAGGGGAGGGGGGCCGTGAGGGGCACAGTGGGGGTGTGGAAGCCGGGGGCATGAGCCAGGGCGGGGTGATGGGGGCTCTGGGGGGCCGTGAGTGTGGTGGTAGTGGCTGGGCCGTGGGCCGCCCGGGCCGCCCGCTCGCCCGCTCACCGCCCTGGCGTCTTCCAGCGCCAGCTCCTTCTGCCGCAGCAGCCCCTGCAGCCGCACGGCCTCCCCCTCAGCCTCCCCGAGGCGGCCCTTCAGCTCCGAGCACCGCTCCTGGAGCCGCCGCTCCGACTGCTCCAGCTCCGACAGCTCCGCTTCATACTTGTCCCGCAGGCGCTTGACTCTGGGGGGGCAGGGTCAGCCCTGGGGGCAAGCAGGCGCCCGACCCAGCAGCCACGTGCCCCCCACCCCCTCATCCTCCTCTGTTGTGACCCCGGCCTCACCGGCTCTCGGTGGCCCGCTCACCCTCCTCCCGGGCCTGGGTCATGTCGGCCTCGAGCCGCTGGATGACCAGCTCAATCTCCTTGTCCCGGGCTTTCCGGATCTCCTCTTTCAGCTCTCGCTCCCGGGTCAGCAGCCACGCTTCCTGGGGTTGTGCACGGGAGGGGAGTGGGCAAAGCTCTCCAACCCAGAACCAGGGTCAGCAAGGCACGCCGCCGGGCTCAGCACGCCACACAGGACACATGGCAGGAGACCAGGAAGATGCAGCAGGGGAGGGCCAGGGCCAGACAGCCATGCTTGGGGCAACGTGCAGGGTCCGCAGGGATCATAGAGATCCCTGCCCCTCAGTCCCTGCTGTTCTTCAGGGGAAGGGGCCGGGTCCCGTTGTGAGGTCCCAGCGGGGGACACAAGGGGCCCGGGGTGGATCGTGGGCAGGAGGCCCTTTGTCTGGACAGCAGCCAGGCGCTCGCTCACACGTGGGCACACACAACCCCGGGCACTTCAACGCCACTGTCTGCCTGCTGGATTGGCCGGAGGAGAGTGCTGGTCCTTGGTGGCGTGGGTGAGCATCTTCTCATGCCCGGGGTGGGGTGTGGAGGACATAACAGGGGACAGCCTCTTGGGAAGGCAATTTGGAAATATCCCTGAAAATTCCATAGGTCCACCACCTGGCACCTGGGGTTGGTGAACTATGCGTGCGGACCACAGGGACAGAGCCGTGTGGCAGCGTGTGTCCCCTGCCCCCACCCCTGGGAGGGTCCACAGAGTTTAAAACCCAGGTGCCAGACAACAGCAACTCGAAGGGTTAGACAGCAAGCTTGGGGGGCAGGGAGCTGATGTTAATGGGGAGGAACAACTCAGAAAAGGAGGGCGAGGACAGTTACACAACTCGAAGAACGTAATCGATGTCACCAAATCGTACATGTAGAAACCGCTGAATTGATATATGTTTTGCTGTGTATATTCTCAACAACAATTAAAAAAAAAAAACAAAACAGCCAAGGCCAAGGGGCCAGCCGTCAGCGGGGCTTTGGGGGGACATGGGGGCTTCTACACCAAGACTCCGCCCAGAAGGACACAAGGGGGCAGTGTGGTTGGGATGGGAAGACTAAGGGCTGGGGTCCCTGTCACACCAGGAGAACGCCAATTACTTCCTCTTAGGGGCACAGCGGGGAGGGGCGGGAGGAGGCGAGCTTCTCTCTGATCACAGAATCAGCCCTGGCTCCCCCTTCTGTTTGCCGTGTCTCCAAGCTCCTTAATCCTTCAAGAGCCCGCATAAAAGACACGCTGGAGGCAGCACGCACACGCGTGTACTTAGAAAACAGCACGAGGCCCCAAAGCAGCCAGAGGGAGACAGAAACACACCAGC